TATCCAGAAACCCTACTGCCCTGAAACAAACGTTTCATTCAAATCCCGAGACATACAAACTCACAACCAACTGTTAACTGACGAGAATTAGACAGTCGAGTGGCTAGACTTCTGTAGAATCTATTTCGACGGCGGCTGTCCTAATCGCATCCAATAGAAACACTCCTGTACGTCACTCCTAGATCCAGGTTCCAGCCAAATTAAAAGGTCAAATTTCTAGGAGAAAACGTCTCTATATTGTTATAAAATGGAAATACAGAGGCTTACGGTATTTTTGTTTCTTCCAGGACTAAATTACTCCGTAGAGTATCTATTACAATAGCTAGTAAGTGACACTAAGTCCAGCAGCCACCGCGTCTATCCAAAAATGTGGCGGTAGCCATATTATATCAAATTTAAACAATATATGTACAGTTCAAAAGCAAACACAAAAACTTCAATATAAGTACAAAATATGGAAAGAATAACAACATACAATGGTAAAATCTCAAATTGGAATCAAATAAAATACCAAAAATGTCAAGAGAAAAAGTCCATCATGTCATAGCAAAAATATGTAAACATGGAGGGATTTTCCCAAAAACAAAACATTCAAAAAGAATTCTACACCGGCCCGCAAAATCCCTCCATGCAAAAACAGCAAGCGTTAATGACACCTTATTTAGGGTTCCCATGTTATCCCCTAATCCACACCGGAATAACGTGTAGGACTTACAGCAGTACGCCTACCCGCCATCCAACATGGATATGACCTATCGTGTTAACTAGGTTCCTATACTTTCCCATCAGGCCCTTGATTCCCCTATCTATCGTGGCATGACCTAACGGTAGTATAAACCTTACCCAATTAACCCATACGAACATGAACAACGCGTCGCAAAACTGGTCATATCCTATCCAAGGACTACATTCTCTATCGTGGGGACGAGTCGCCAATCCACCACCACTTGCTCCGATCAGCAGATACCATGAAGTCCGTGAAGCCAACTTATCAACAGAAGTTTTTGACCCATAAATAATATACAAGGGTGGGATCTCCAATTTTGACATTTCATCGTCTCCAGAAGACCTTAAGTAGCATGACGTAGGATCAATATTTATCCTTCCATCTCCTGATGCAGAGGAGGTTTGAACAGTGTTCATCATCGTCGGTAACTCATTTGTCACATCAGTGACATCCAGTTTATTATCAACGTCTAAATGATTCCGTTCTGCATTAGCATCCGTTTCCGCGGCACAAGACATATGCTCAACAATAGCATCGTCATCACACAGCACTGTAGACTGGCTGTTACCATCAAACATTTTCTTCTCATCATCACTCGACTGACAGTCAACCGGAATAGGAACAGTTACAGTTGCACAACCTTGTGCATCTTCAATCAACTTAACCTTCGTGACGAGGTCCGATGGCGTCGAAACACTAGGAGGCTCATTCGATGAAGTTGATAAACTAGTCCCTATAAGTGGACTGCTGACACTTTCTATCTCCTTATTATCAGTGTCACTACTAAAGTTCTGATGGCTACTATTTCCATGGCTAGTCGTAGCATCCGAAAGAGCATGAGGTTCAGGCTTCTTAGTAATAGTAGCATCATGTCTCCTAGGCTTCTTAGCCGTTACTGTACCACCATCACTTATCCTAGAATCTACTCTAGGTCCAGTTATATAATTTACCCTAACTGAAGGGTTCCGAAAATAAGCTTTATTCCGTTCAGTCAATCCTGCCTGGGCTTTATTCATATTTGCTGAACTCACTAACCTCTGATTACTCGAATCCAAATTACCGTTCCAGGCTTTTCGAGCAGCTAAGAGGCTTTTATCATCACACCCTTCGGATCCATCTTGATGCCTACACTTTTCGCCTTTTTCTTTCTTTTCTACACTTAGAAAAGCCATCTTATCTGTTACATCAACCGGCTTCTTGCTAGGACACGCATCAAGAGGCTTTACATCGTTACGGTCACATACTCGTCCTTCATCAGCGTATGCTTTCGTGATATAATTGACAAATCTCTTATCTTCCGAGCGTGCTTTAGGTAGAAACGAAAAATCCTCATGTCTCGCACGCAGACCACTAGTAGCTTCCGTATTATTTCCTGTTTTAGCCTGATAAGCTAATCTTCCAAACCTACTACTAGCTATCTTAGCACGAGACATAATAAATTCCGTCAATTCGTTAAAATTAGGCTCTCTCTCCTCTTCGTCCCACTTGAATACTAGCTCTGCCCACTGGGCTTGCATTCGACGAGGTAAGAGCCTTACTATTCGTTCTAAAGTAGCCATAGAGTTAAGTTCAGCTGTACAATTTAACTGTTCTAAAGTTAAAGAAGCATTCTGCATTTTAATGGCCAAGTTCGTCAATGATTCAGGATCATTAAATTCTACATTCCCAGTTCTAAATAAGTCCTCTAAGGTTTCTCGCGCTATTACATGCGTCTGTCCAAAGAGCTGTTTTAGAATGGCCTTAGCTCTCTTATATCCTGATTGTGGATCCATAAGAATACAGCCTTCAATCGCATTGTTTGCTTTTCCCTTACAATAATGAATTAAATACAATAAACGCACTTGATCATCCTTGATTCGAGGTTCTATAAACGTCTCTATCTGTCGTATGAACTTAAAATAGTCGCGAGACCTTCCATCAAAATATGAAAGTTCAACCTTAGGTAATTCTAAACCCTCTATCGATGACTTACAATAATAAATATCAGACATAACATGTGGGTTACCCATAAAAAGGTTATCATCAACGACTTGCCTAGAGCCCTGTGATCCGTCGAGCTCTTCCACCCTCCTCATGTATGATTTTTTTCGGTTTGACATCATAAATAAAGTTCAATAAAGACGGTAACGAATACAAAATAGAGTAAATCCGAATTTCAGTTCAAAATTAGGGATACGTAGTTCCAACTTCTTCCCCCAAGGAAGTCTAGTATGATAAACGATTAAAATTCCAAATGTTTCCTTGTAATTCTTAATAATCCAAATAGATCCAAATTATATGCGTTCTGGTAAATATTTCCAAGTATAATTCACGCAAGAAGAGCAAATACCAGACTGTAGAATCTATTTCGACGGCGGCTGTCCTAATCGCATCCAATAGAAACACTCCTGTACGTTACTCCTAGATCCAGGTTCCAGCCAAATCAAAAGGTCAAATTTCTAGGAGAAAACGTCTCTATATTGTTATAAAATGGAAATACAGAGGCTTACGGTATTTTTGTTTCTTCCAGGACTAAATTACTCCGTAGAGTATCTATTACAATAGCTAGTAAGTGACACTAAGTCCAGCAGCCACCGCGTCTATCCAAAAATGTGGCGGTAGCCATATTATATCAAATTTAAACAATATATGTACAGTTCAAAAGCAAACACAAAAACTTCAATATAAGTACAAAATATGGAAAGAATAACATCATACAATGGTAAAATCTCAAATTGGAATCAAATAAAATACCAAAAATGTCAAGAGAAAAAGTCCATCATGTCATAGCAAAAATATGTAAACATGGAGGGATTTTCCCAAAAACAAAACATTCAAAAAGAATTCTACAACTTCCATCCATTGGACATTACCGAACACCTGGAACCGTACCGAAAGAACAAGAATCGAGCGCAAAGAAATTAATTGGTTTACACTAGCTCGTTAAAGATATTGGAACCGGAAACACGTGAGTTTACCACAAAGAATCATTTGATGAGAGTGGACGCAGATCGAAGAAACTGATGCTAAACGTCAATAAAGATGGAGAAAAGCTGGATATCAACAGGTTTTTCATAGAGAAAATCAGGAGAATAAAAAGTTAGCTGTTAGGACATTTTTGTTAGTCTAGTCCAACCGGTCAATTCCTGTTGGTTATTTGCTACTGGTCAATATTATGATCGACCTAACTGTAATGTCGTTTCCCATTAGTCGTCCTAAATATCAATGTCATTTCAAATGCTGTTTCCTATTGACCATCCTAACTATCAATGTCATCGACTTCGATGTTGGTTCCTATTCGACCTCACTGTATAAATACCCATTACCTATAATGTTTTATAACACCGACCCGGATCCTTAGTCCGGGATCTTGATTCTCTTCTGGACTCGAATTTCGAACTTTCTGGATGCTTGCAGGACACATGTTCTACTTCATATCAAGTCTTCTTCTTTTACTCAATGAGGGTTTGAGATAATTGGATTAGAGTAGAATGTCGCGTCACCGGATCTTCGCCCTCGTTTACTGACTAAGGTAAACTGGTAATAATTGAAGCATATCAAATGACGTGTTTAAATGCATCCATAACATAAACAGAAAATATTACAATATCATACTAAAGAAAAGATTACGAGGCTATTTCACTAGTTAGCAATCTGATTAACGAATTACTATCCACCTAAAAAGTATTTCACACTCACAAAAGTAAATATTCTTCTAAATGTGAATTTAATTTAGTTAGAGCAAAGATATTTGCACATCACTGGTATACCTAAAACTATGAAGTTTGTTAAATATGGATAAATTGATCTACATTAACATCAACATCGTAACCCTAGAAAACTAACACTCAGTATGTAGGTTGTGTTTCACAATATACCTCTTTGATCTTATGAACAAATTCTCTTTCTACATCCGACTGCTTGATTTAATGCATTTCCGTGTCAAAAGTAGAGCTTTTTCTAACAGTGACACGAGTTCATGAAGTCATTGACTCAGATATGTCTTGATAAGTCGAAAAGACTATTTTGTTAGAATTTACAAGTCTATCGTAAACAATCATTGTAGACATTACTTGGAATTAATAACAATTCATCGAAATGTACTCTTAATTCTTACAGACAATTTTTCAGCTCACACACTACATTCAACATTATCTCTCTATTACAATATACACGTGTGTAGAAAAAGCTTCCAGTGGAAAATTACCAAAACGAACTGTCATTCTAGAATAATAAATCTATTTACATGTATAAGTCACAGACAAAAAAAAGCCAATAACGAAACACAGAAAATCTTAGTTGGATTACAAAATGAGTAAATCAAATATACCGGTGTTAGTTGTACAAAATTAAAACAACCGGTTTTTCTCAATATTGATGATTTAATATATAATGAGAAGACACGTAATAAATTATACAGTTTCAAGACTAGATTTTTACGACTTCTTTCACAAAATTATTAAAGTACAATAAAACATACATACATACACTTGTACATATTCAAACCTAAGAAATTAAACATGGATGATTTTCATAATTGAAATTAGGAAAGAAAAATTTGATTTCTTTCAATGCATTTTCTTGGGAATCTAATCAATATATAGAGAGAGCAAGAAAAAACAATTGAATAGAAAATTCACTCAAGGTTAGAACTAAATTGATTTAGAAAAACACATTATGTCAACGGATAGAGTGTTACGCATGTACGTTAACATGTCAATTTAATGTTGCTTGAACTATTACGAGTTTATCTTAGTCGAAAAACGAAAGTGAGGATCGAGGATCCGGCGATACGACATGCCACTCTTAATCCAATTGTCCCAAACCCCATATTTAGTAAAAATAAGAAGACCTGTTATGAAGCGTCGAGAAAGTACGAGGTCCGAGTCCAGAAGTAGGCAAGGACCCTGGACTAAGGATCCGTGTCATGAAACGATACAGATAATGTATATTTATACAGTTAGGTTGAAAAGGAAACAACATTGAAATCGGTGACATTGACAGTTAGGACGACCAATAGGAATTGACCAAGAGACGCTAAGCTGACCTATATTTCCCACTCGGAAAATCTTTGACTGTCATTGGATTATTTTAGTACGGCATTTTGTGGCTGTCACCAACGGCGTTTCTATTATGTATAAATAAGCTTGAATTGAGTGTTTAGAAACCCCAATCTTTCTGGGTGCCTGTAGAATACATTCTTTTCGTCTTATCAAGACTTCCTGATTTTTTTTTAGCGGGGCCTGGGACAACTGGATTAGAATAGCCTCTCGTGTCATTGCATTGTTGATCTCCGTTCCGTTTACCGAGTAAGGTAAGCTCGTAATAGTTCCAAGCATATCGATTAGCGAGCATATAACTTATAAAATCATTGTTAAACTATAATGATAATTATCGTGTAGTCACTTATGATTCTCAGAGTTATAGTGCGAAGTCATGATAAGTGGAGTTAAGCAGTGTTGGGTGAAGTATGACCTTGTCAGGTGGGAGGCGATTATCCATTGAAAACCATAAAAAGGTAGTCATTCAGTTACAACGTAGAACTTGTAATGTACGTACATAAGTTCAAGGTAGTGGTGCAATACCATAGACTGATTGCATTCAGACATTAATACCAGTTCAGTTGTCAAGAGTGTGTGAGTACGCTCACGCTCTCGGTTTGATTGGCGAAATGGGGATCACGAATATGCACTGTTAATGAATCCTATACTAGGAAGACATGACTACCTAATAATTTCAGATTCAAAATGCTTATTTAACACTAATCAGCTCATGATTTGCATCAAATTTAGAAAAAAAAACTAATCGTTATTTCATGACCGCTATAATCATCTTTCCATTCATTTATACGTCCTGACTGACGTCTTGCATTACTTCCAAGTAAGTGGAAAGTGTACTACCTCAACATTATTCCAATAAGAACATTTCAACCAATCTAATATGATACATCTATACCCTATATACATTGAACATTTATTTCTATATCGAAATGATCATACCCGTAAACTGGCATGAATCGTGTATCCATTATTTTCAGAATCTCGCTGTTTGAATACAAGAAGTACATTTGATGTCTACAAGTTTAACAGTATAGATCAAGGAATTGAAGGAACAAAGTGTAGAAATGAAAAGATAAAATTATACAATTACTCATGAAACACTGAGTCTTCCAAGTGTACTTTTGGCGAGTTCAACCAAACGCAAAAACAACATTACAAACCACCACAATAATTTTTTCAATAGAGAAGATGAATCAAACAGTATGTGTAACTACAAGTTAGTGATCAGTCGGTGAAAAAGGTAAATAATGCTTTGAATTGCCTAGTGGTAATCATAACACAAGACTGCATTATTGATAAACAAGTGTAATCTGTACAGGTATAGCAGCATGAATCGGCTAAGCAAGAGGAGAATTTCTAATACTGAAGAACAACTGGAACACTAAACGGTTGTCAGCCAACACCAAAGTCAGAATTTTCAATACATACGTCAAGGCAGTTCTACGTATATGGAGTAGAAACTTGGAGAATTCCCAAAACCATTAATTGAAAGATTCAGGTATTTCTAGAAAACTGTCTACGCAACATACTCTACATCTGTTGGCCGAAGACTATCAGCAACAATCTGCTGTCACAGGGGCAATCCAGTTTCCAGCTGAGGAATAAAATAAGGAAGCATTATAAAGGAGGATGAAATACACTTTGCCGAAATCCTTGATATGCATTACAGAGCAAGCTCTAACTTGGAAACTTCAAAATGAAAGCAGCAGAGCTAGACCACTGAATAAATTACATAGTGGAAGAGAGGCAGATATCACAATAATCAATAGCAAGCACTTGAGAACCTTTCGGAAGCTCTACATTTCTCAACAGTCATTGAATATACATGATGGCATCACAACTAGTCATCCCTTGAACCAATTACACCTGAATTTTATCAGTCAGTTAATTACAACGTAGAACTTTGCACATAAGTACAGCAGTTCAAATTGCCACACCACATTAGCACAGACACGCAATTGTCGATTCCGATCCCATAGTATTAAAGGTAGTAGAAGTATTAGCAGTAAGCAGGAAGATAAGGGTTCGACGATATTATTCAAGAAGTAGGATCAAGCGAAATAAGCTTAAAAAGAGGAACATAAAGGTAATGAGAAATTTAGAAAACTAAAATTTGAGAGAAGACAAAGAATGGATGTATCTGCACCACCGCGAACGATTTTGAGCCCTATCACAGAAAGTCTCTAACCATCGATTACTATGGTATCGCGGTCCCCAACCAGATAGTCGACACCTACCAAAATGACTCAATCCACTTGTCAGTGACTTCATGGATTTGTGCCATGTTTTGGTCTGGCCGCCCCTAACTTTCTTCCAGCCTGAACCTACACCACAAAACATTGCTCGTCGCGGCAGTCGGTGGTTAGGCATTCGTAACACATGTCCCAACCACCTCAACTGATGAAATTTCACTACTTCATCTACTGATTTGCCATCTCTACCTAGAACTCATTTCCTAACGACAGCATTGCTTATACGGCTGGCCCAGGATACACGAGCAATGCTTCGGAGACACCTATGATCGAAGACTAGTAACCTACAAAAGTACTCTACTTCTCCTACCGGCCATGTTTCGCATCCGTATAGTAGGTCGAAGCAAACTGCCACACGGTACACTCGTCCTTTGGTTAGCAAGCGGATATCTCGCCTGCGCCATAGGTGAAACAGGTTGGCAAGAGCTAATCGGGCCTTCTGTATCTGAGCTGACACAACGTCAGTCAAAATCTTTCAATCAAACCACATCACTGAAATAATAGTTCTGTGATGAACACAACTCACCTGATCCATGAAAACCATTTCTGGTATCTGTTAATCCAAAACGACCACGTAAACTATTCGGTTCAAAGACAACGGTTCTGAGTGAATGAATGATCAAAACACATCAAAGAGTTAAAAATGTATACACAATAGAATGAAGTCAGTGTCGGAGAAGCATAGAAAAAAAAAAAAGTCGTTATTTCAGAAAAACAGCAGGGTTGAAGAAGAAATAACGGTGCAGTTTAGCCAGGGAACCTAAATTTTATTTACCCACACATAAGAGACCTACCTGCTGACAATGGTTTTTAATCTACTTCGAAAACAATAAAGATTTTAGTCAGTGAGTAGTACAATCTTGTCAATGGATATATACGCGTGATCAAATGAGAGTATTTTGTAGAAGGAGGAGAGCAAACTCTCTCCACACTCGGTTGTACCGCGGCACTTATGGGCTCTCGTAAACTTTCAAGGAAAAAGTCCTTGTCGCATTTGTATCCCTGTTAGCGGGACATAGATGGATTAAAGTATGACTGAATTAGCTGCGCGCTGATTGGCTAGTTCTTATTCAATCAGCGCCTGGCCAATACTTGGAGAGCATTCTAGGAAATTCTCGCGTTGTTAGCCTCACGCTGATTGGCTAAATCTAATCCGATCGGCGTTAGTCAATACTTGGAATACATTCGAGAAGCTTCTAATATCAAAACTGTAGATATACCAACGTTGTCCGTATTTCGCCTTCGCTTCGGTTTCTTACTTTCATTGAACATTGCTGTTTGGAATATAATCTCTTTTCGTCTTCAACTGTGTTCTGATTTGTGGAAATTGTCGAGTATATTGTTGTCCGTAAATACTAAGCAATAAGAATAGCTGGGTTTATTAAGAGAGCGTTATAACAGTGGCGACAGGGATGGGATGACATTGATCCTTTGAGACTTGAATTATCACCCGAGCAGCAGTTGAACTAATGATGTTGATGGATACTAAGCTGCATCGTGACACGACTATAGTGGATCAAGTCAGTCTGATATTGTGTAGTGCAACCGTAAACTTACCAAAGTCGATATGCCCCCTGATACATCCAGCATACCTCACTTCAGCTCAATCCAATCTACAATTACTCCGTTTAGACTGGTTCAAACAGCTAACATTAGCAGTTGTCCCATCAAGCATAAGAAGAAACCAAACCGCTCAGAGAAATTTATAGCATAGAATAATGAGCCAATTGGAAGTGGCCAAATAAGGTTATTCGATAATCTTTAGTCAAGAAATAGACCCTTCATTTTCTAAGGTGAGGGGAATGTATCTATATATGAATATTCATGTATACTATTCCATAGCTGACCAGACATTCTCTTACACTCTTGCTTTCGAGTTCAAGTAGTCAGTTTGGAAGGGTTAGCACACATATTCATATTCAGATCTTAAACAACATCCATTTTAATAGTTGATTTCTAATTTCCTTTCTAGAAGCAATTATTCAAGTTCTCTCAACTAGATATTTGAACCGATTTTGTTGAGAATACTCTTATTCATTTTCATGTAGGATTCCTTTTGGCTACCACTATTTTATGCTAGAGGAATCGTTGATTATAAGGTTTCAAGTTGCAACATTTAAGGTACTCTGAATAGAAGAAGATAGTTCCATCTAATTGAATAAAATTCACTTCGTTAGTCCTGTGCATTGAGATCGAACAGTGGAATATTGTTAAGTACAGTTGATAACTAGGTTGATACTGAGAACTGTTTGAGTAAAATTAATGAAACTGTTATCTGAAAATATTGTATGGTGTATGCTACTCAAAAGAGTGCTTAAAAGTAGTATGCAACAAAGCATCGTATGGAAGTCACTACAATTATCAGCTGAAGATAAGAGTTTTAGAAGTTCAAGAGCATCGCATGCTCATACGACCTTGAAGACCAGAAAAGAAACAAGAGTGTACGGACTATAATCAAAGTAGATTGCAAAACACACAAAACAGATATAAATCATTGACAAGTGTGATTAGACATTTTCCTGCAGCGAATAACCACGTCGAAAGACATAAAACTATCGGGGATGTTAGATCCCCAGAACTCGCTTGATAAATGTCGTCTTAATTTTGGATTTTATTCATGGGCTGATCAGTTGACCTTGAGATCACATTTCCCACCAGGAAAAGCCTTGGCTGTGATTGGTCACTGTGTTATTTTAATGTGCTGTTTTTGTGACTCTTCCAAGGGCGCCTCTGTGGTGTATGAATAAACTGGATTTGTGTGTCTGAATTCATTGTGGTTGTTGGGTGTTTGTAGAATACACTTTCTACGCTATATCAAGACTTCTCGTTAGTTCCTCAAGGTCAACGAATCACAGTGACCTACCTGAACGCTGGTTCATTGTCTCGTTCTTGTTTATCGACTAAGGTGAACCCATAATATTTCCAAGCATATCTAGTGACGAGCATAACAAAAACTTTCTTACCTACATCAGTGTGACCAGCTGTAAATACTTACAGTCTGAAATAAAGTACATTTACATTTAGTCAAGCCGTTGTAAAGTTTGTTTAAACAGAACACTGTCAATCAACCAAAAAACAATAATCATCACTTCATTTCAAATATTTGTCAGTCAAATGTTAAAGTAATGAACACTTACTGATAAACTTTAGTTGAACCAAGTAAAGAACGCCATACAGATATTGCTTCAGGACCAGCTAGAATATATACTCCTAATGGGCCACTAGAAAAATATGAATAATGAATTCCGTTAGTTTATCGATCGGTTGAAGAAGTTTTAAAGAAGTTCCACAACGACGGCAACAACTACAACAACAGTAATTAATTTTACACATTTTTGAAACCATGTATCGATCAATGTTAGACCACCATTAGAAACTTGGAAGCACTGAACGGCCATTTCGTCCTGGCATGGGACTCCTCAGCAGTGCGCATCCAAGACTCCTGCAGCCCGCAGGATTCGAACCCAGGACCTTCGGTATTGTGCGCGAACGCCACAACCGTTTCTAATGGTGGTCTAACATTGATCGATACATGGTTTCAAAAATGTTTAACTTAACAATCTTCACAACCCCGTAATGCAAATAACTTATTTATCTAATAACCACTTGACGAAATGAAGAAACGAAACACGACTTAACAGTGAGGTGGATTTTGTTTGAAGACGAATAGTTATGAATAACGTACAGAATAATGCTTGAGAAATGTCCTGATTTACCGTATAGTAGTATTCTGATTAGCAGTCAGTCAGATACAACGTAGAACTTCCTACGTAAGTACATCAGTTCATGCTGCCATACCACATCAGCACAGAGATGTAATTGTCAATTCAAATCCAATAGTAGAAGAGGTAGTAAAGGTATTAGAAGTAATCGAAGAGGCTAAGGATTAGAAGATATTATTCAAGAAGTATGATTCAGTGAGAAAAGTTTAGAAAGTCAAAACTAGAGGTGTTGAAGAATCCATAAGATTAGGATTTGAGAGAACACAGAGAATAAATGCATGGGCGCTATTGCAAACGATTTTGAGCCATGTCATTTAGGGTCTCTAACCATCGATTATTATCATCTCGCGGACCCCAACCAGGTAGTAGTATTCTGATCAGCTTGGGAAAAATACGAACGTGCTTGGAATGCAATTTTCTCCATCTCTCTCACTCTTTAAGTATAAAAAACTACCTCAGAATTTGTCCCTGTCAGCTCTAAATAAATGTGAGTATAGCGTTATAAAACGTAGTCCATGACAATAGAGGGCATTTTGTATGGTTACAGGTGTTTTTTCGAAACCAAAGATGTCTGAAAATATACTCCTACTGTGTGTTGTGGCACCAAACTGTTGGGCTCAAGCTAGCCTCACAGTTATTAAGCAAAGAGATGCGAGATCAACTGACATGGTTGTGAATCCTTTATTTTCGAATAATGTGATTAGAACGTGTATTATATCAACACAAGCACCTCTCACAATGAAGAACAATAGGCTGGATAACCAGACAGACAGATACAACACAGAACTTCCTACATAAGTACATCAGTTCAGGTTGCCATACAACGTCAGCACAGAGATGTAACTGTCAGTTCAAATTCAAGAGTGATAGCGATAGTAGAATTATTAGCAGTAATTGAGAAGATTAGGGAGTGAAGATATGATTCGAAAAGTATAATTCAGTGGGATAAATTTAGAAGGAGGAAGATAAGCTGGATAACCAAAACAAAACATGGCCCCATCAGTCTATCAATGTACGGACTTTCATATTGTATGATGTGGACTATATTGTTAGGAGTTCGTAAGGTGATTCAAGACAAATGATTAGAGATTTTGGGTAACATGGTTGTGAAATACATACAGAGATAACGATACGTCCAAACATTATTTTTCTCTGTAAATTAAGCCTTGATAGAGTTTTGTAATTTGTATCAATCGAATTCATCTTCTCGTTAGGAATAATATTCTTTTCTAAACATCACAAGTACTACTGAGAAGACTGAGGCAGGAGCGGAAGATTGTATTATGCAAATTTACACTCTTAGTCAATTAATAACGAAAACATTACATTGAACACGCTCTATTTGCACACTATCTTTGAGTCGTGACTTCCAACGCTCCATCCTTCTTCTATTCCTGTTGTTGCTTCCTTGCCTTCCTCTGTTGGCACTCCATTTACTTCTTGCTTTTGCTCCATTTGCTTTCCGTTTTCCTCTTCTGACCGTGAGACTTCTTCTTTCACGTCCCTTCTTATACTACTTATATCGTTCGTATAAGTAGCACACACCACACTACTAATATTTCCTATCTCTAATTTGCTATTTTCGCTTGCTAATATGGTAGGGCAATGTGGATTAAGGTTTAGTTTTATTTAAACACAGAATTATTGCTGCAGAAGGGTATATGAATATTTATACACCACACATTATTGAACTTCTGGGTCGATTGGAATACTCTCTAACTGCCATAATCAAACTCATCAAGAGTTTCACTTACACGGTGAATGCAAAAATCTCTGGAGCAATGTTTCAGCATACAGTCACATGGCAGCTGGTCATCAACAATACGTCCAGAAGCCATTTGTCCCTTCTAAATTCTGGAACCAATGTGGACTATTCGTTTGGAGTCACGGTGAATCCTATGTACACGCTATAACCGCCGGTGGAAACTTCGCTTCCTTCTTCTCATTTACTGAAACAACACCGTGACCACGAGAAGGCCATGAGTTAGAATTCGTGGGCAGTGGCTAGATAATCATGGCCATATGATAGAATCTTGATAAAAAGAACAGACTCTCCCCAACTCTCAATCATACCAAGGTATTCGGTAGTTAGTAAACATTTGTCCTCAACTCTTAGATGACGACTATAACTAACTGACTAATCGTTGAAATATAAACGACTACAAAATACAGTGAAGAAATTACTATTTTTAAAAAAATGAGAATTTAGAACTTTTAATGAAAAAGATTATTTTAGAAAAACTTAACTACAAACTTACCAAATCATATGATTAACAAGTCGATCATAGAAAAATTTACCTAAAGTAAAAAAACAGTTTATTTTGAAAAATAAATTTATTTGGAATGCAAGTTTTGAGTATTTTTTTTCGCATTTTAGTATAAAAGAAAAAACGGAAAACTACTGGAATTTGATGATAACATGACTACTATGATAAGTGTTGTGTACTTAATTGTTAGGATATATTCATCCAATATCTTAAGAGAATTATTGGTCAATTCCTATTGGCCGATTTCTATTGGTCAAAATTATGGTCGTTTTAACTGTCAATGTCACGTGCTCCAATGTTGTTTCTTATTGGTTGTCCTGACTATCAATGTCACTTCAAATGTTGCTTCCTATTGGTCGTCTTAACTATCAATGTCACAGAATTCGATGCTGTTTCCTATTTCGACCAAAATGTATAAATACGCATTATTTGTAACGTTTTGTGACCACGACCAGGACCAGAGCTTGGTCCCGGATCCTGTTTCTCTTCTGGATTTGGACCTCGTACTTTCTGGATGCTTGTAGAATACAGGTTCTACTTCATATCACGTCTTTTTATTTTTACTCAATATGGGGGTTGGAATAATCGGATTTGAGTAGCATGTCGTGTCGCCGGATCCTCGATCCTCGCTCTCGTTTTTCCGACTAGGTAAACTCGTCATAGTTCAAGTATATCAAGTTGACGTGTTTACGTGCTGTCGTAACATTTATCTAACATGCATTAACAATGCTAGTGCGTTAGGAAAAAAATGGTACTCCGTACGTATGGCACACCAGTTGATGAAGTAGTGAATTTATATCAGTTGAGGTGGTTTGGACATGTGTTACGTATGCCCAACCATCGACTGCCTTGACGAGCGATGATGACCGGTGTACGGGTAGATTGGAAGGAAGCTAAGAGCGACCAGACCGAAACATGGCATAGATTCATGCAGTCACTGACAACTGTAGTGAATCATGTAAATAGGCATAGACTATCTGGTTAGAGTTCGCGGAACAATAGTTACTGGTGATAAGAGACCTTGAACGACATGGCTTAAAATTGTTTGCAATAAAGTAAATGCATCCATTCCTTGTGTTCTCCCGTATCCTAATCTTCCAGATTCTACATCACCTTTATCGTTTTCTTTGTAAGTTAATTTCGAAAACAGAATCAAAGTAAATAAATTGATCATTGAACATGAACAAATAACAGGGCATTTCGTTTAGTAGACTATTAAATTGTTACGAACACACATCAACACGTCAAATGATATGCTTGAACTATTACGAGTTCACCCTAGTCGGGGAACGAGAGCGAGGATCGAGAATCCGACGATACGACAGGCTAATCTATAGTCCAAGCGTCCCAACCTCTTACTGAGCAGAAGAAGAGAAGACTTAATAGATGAAGTCGAACCTGTATTCGACAAGCATTCAGAAAGTACGAGGTCCGATTCCAGAATAGAATAAGGATGGGGGTAATAAAACGTTACAGATATTGCGTATTTATACAGTTAGGTCGAATAGGAAACAACATTTGAGGTAGGTGACATTGGATAGTTAGGACAACCAGTAGGAATTGACCAATAGAATTAGACTTACAAAATTAATTCTCTTAGGATATCGGATAAATATCATAACATAAATGTATTCGACTATTCTGGACTCATCGAATGTAACTATTTGTGATTGTGTTTGTTGTAAAGTAAACTATTGTCTGTCACGAATTCCATTTCTCAACATTTTGTCCATGAATCGTGTATCTGGTTTACAATATGATCCAATATCTGGATTGCGTATCGTTCAAGTATTCAATTCAATGATAGTATAAACTGTGCTATTGTTAGGATATTCACCAAATATCCTAAGAATACTACTATTTTTAGAAGTACAATCCTATTGGTCGATTTCTATTGGCCGAAATTATGATCGTTCTAACTGTCAAGGTCAAATACTTCAATGTTGCCTCTTATTGGTCATCCGGACTGTCAATGTCATTTCAAATATTCTTTTCTATTAGTCATCCTAAATTGTCAATGTCACAGACGTTGATGCTCTTTCTTATTCGACCTTAATGTATAAATACGCACTATCTAAAAGACTTAATAATTGCGTTCCTTCCTGCCTACCTACTCTCTTCTGTACTCGATTCAATAAACAACTCCATCCAACGGTGTTGCGTTCTGATATCTAGGAGATTTGGAAATAGCATTTTGGGTCGTATTGGGATATTTGAATTTGGACGCCGCTAGGACTGAATAGCTAGCTATACGTAGCAGCGTTACAACAGTTATTTTATTGTATTACCGTGGGGTGACGTAGTCGGAGTAAATTAGCTCATAATAACTCATGATAATAGTAATAATAATAATAATAATAAGATGCACAGTACTACTAACCTTTATGTTCAGCATAAAATAATTCCGCACGATCACGTGTCATGTAAATTTCTTCATTATGAATAATTTGTAATTGTGCGCTGGACATTACCGATTCAACATACTAATAATTAAATTTTTTTTAATTAAAAATATAAACAAGAAATATTTTATAAAATTACAGATTTGATTGATTTTGACGAAGTGATTTATAAAGAGTGAATAAATTTGGTTGAGAATATTTTTTTTGGTGACTAGCAAAACAGTGTGATTAAGCCTTCACAGTTAAATCAGTCAGTCAGTCAGTTAACATAGAACTTCGTACGTACGTACATCAGTTCAAGTTGCGATAGACCACATTAGCACAGGCAGATGCGATTGTCAATTTAAATCCCATAGTAGCACAGATAGTAGAAGTATTAGCAGTAATGGAGAAGATTAGGGTGCGAAGATATTATTATTGAAGAAGTATAGTTCAATGAGATCAGTTTACAAAGAGAAAGATAGAGATTATGAGGAATTCAGAAGGTTAGAACTTGAGAGAACACAAAGAGTGGATGCACCTGCACCATTGCAAACGATTCTGAGCCATGTCATTCAAGGTCTCTAACAATCGAAGACTATTGTCTCGCGGACCCCAACCAGGTAGTCTACATCTACCAACATGACTCAGTCCATCTGTCAATGACTTCATGGATTTCTGCCATGTTTAGGTTTGGCCGCCCCTAGTTTTCTTCCAACCTACTCGTCGAGGCAGTCGGTGGTTAGGCATACGCGACACATGTCCCAGCTACCTCAACTGATGAAGTTTCAACACCTCATCTATTGATCAGCCATCCTTACCTAGCACCCCGTTTCCTCGGACGTCCCAGGATACACGAGCAATGCTTCGGAGACACTTATGATCGAAAACCAGTAACCTACGAATATCTTTTATTCTGACTGGCCATGTTTCGCAGCCAAATGCTTTCAAGAAGATGTAGAGATTCCATCTAACCAAAGTCTGATAGAATTTCTATAATACTGATGTGGCCAAAAGTGGTTGGACTATTCTGTAACATTTCTTTTTTGAGATTAGACGACGACGATGGTGTTTTCAGTCACTACGAAAAACTCGAAATGCCAATGATGTTCCGATAAATTTCTTCTAGCCTTTGATTTGTGACCGAAGGAAGGGTTGAAGGTCTATTTGTTCTCGTGCCAACGTTGCATACCGTATTAAGCCGTAATCAAGTAGATGACTTGACAACAAGATCTCTTCGTTCTCGATAGTGTGATCCTATTTCATATCAAACATGGAACCAAATGAAATGTCATAGCATTGGAAATAATAAGGCCGTACAGTTCTTTCTAATACCTTTATTCCTATCCTGAATACGTTTTAAGCCGCTGAAAACTTTCATTGGTAGATTCAGTCTATTCACTGAATTCTAGAGTTAGATCAATAAACAAAGTTGTGTGAAACTACAACAGTTGTTCCTTTACCAATTAACTGTAGTTCAGTAAGTTAAACTGCTATTTCATACATATTTCCTATGAACATAAGGTCCATCAAAGTTGATATTTCAAGTTATCAATGACGAAAATATAAAGCTATATTAATAAGTAGTAGGTTGAAAATTTTTGGCGACGTTAGATCCACAGAACTCATTTGTAAAAGTGCCTGATTTTGTAATTTTATTTCTGGAATTTTGAATTCATATATTTTCGCGCCAAGAGTCGCTAAGTTGACACATACAGCTTACATTCCCCACTCGCAAATCCCTTGACTGTCATTGGTTGATGGATTTTTTTAGTAGGTAATTTTGTGGCTCTCACCAAGTGTGTTGCTAATATGTATAAATAAGCTCGATTTCTGTGCTCAGACAGCTCATATTGTAGTGAAGGAGAACACAGGTGGGGCAACCGAATTGTATTTAACGAAATTACAGAGTTACTCAGTAAAATAGGAAAACCATATCGTAAATTGTTCATTTGCAAAATATCAGTTCATCATATCGAACTGGACTGTTCCTGATGCAAAACATCAACAATCAATTGTCACTATTCATGTGTTTCAAACAAATTCCATTGTGTTCTAACTCTTCCTTTCTTGATCTTCTTCACCCATCTTCTGCTGCCAGACATTACGTTTACACTCACGTCATATACTACTTATAAGTAGCTCGCACCACAATATTTTTGGGTGCTTGTAGAATACATTCTCTACGCCTGATCAAGACTTCTTGCTTTAGTTAACAGAGTCGGGGACAAACGGATTAGAATAGCTTATCATGTCACCGCATCAATGATCTCCGTTCCGTTTACCGAATAAGGTGAACTCGTAATAGCATTCAAGCATATCAAGATTTTGTGTTATATTAACCAATGAATGAAATAAAAAATATCTCTACTTTAAATTTTCTTATTTATATTACTACATAGTCATGAAAAATCCCATTGGATAATTCATTCTGCTTTGGGACCAATCAGATTAACTCATTCAACCATACAATTCCAACGTAATGCATATACACAGATGCATGAATTCTAAATAGTAACCTATGAGTAGATCATAGTGAAATAAACCCTGATTATTTATACTAGTCAATCAATCAAGTGTACGCTGGAGTTACATAATTTTAATTTGATCAATAATTTAATCAATAAATACTTGAGTAAAACAAATCCAGTTGAATGACGAACAGATAGACACAACACAGAACTTCGTACATAAGTACATCAGTTCAGCTTGCCATACCACATCAGCACAGAGACGCAACTGTCATTTCGAATGCAACAGTGATAGAGATAGTAGAAGAATTACTGGTAATGGAGAAGATTAGGGTGCGAAGATATTATTCAAGAAGTATAATTCAGTGAGATAACTTTAGGAAGAGAAAGATAGAGATGATGAGGAATTCAGAAGCTTAGAATTTCATAGAACACAAAGAGTGGATGCACCTGCGCCATTGCAAACGATTCTGAGCCATGTCGTTCAAGGTCTCTAACCATTGGTGACTTTTGTCTCGCAGACCCCAACCAGGTAGTCTACATCTACTAACATGACTCATTCCACTTGTCAGTGACTTCATGGATTTCTGCCATGTTTTGTTCTGGCCACCCCTAGCTTTCTTCCAACCTACTCCTACACCACAAAACATAGCTCGTCAAGGCAGTCGGTGTTTGAGCATACGTAACACATGTCCCAACCACCTCAACTGATGAAGTTTCACTACTTCATCTATTGATATTCAATCTTTACCTAGAAGTCGTTTCCTAACGACAGCATTGCTTCCTCGATTGTCCCAGGATACACGAGCAATGCTTCGGAAAGAGAAAATTCTTAGAGTTCCGATGACAAGGCAGTTATAGGCATTAAAGACAACAGATCATGGTTTTTACAATATCGTGGAATGTTTCAAGTTCAATATCAACACGATGGTCAAAGAGTTAAGCATTCGCGCGTGAATGACGGAAGTCTTAATTTCGATTCCTAAACGTGAGGTTGTGAATAGGCACACAACTGAGAAAGTCTCATACTGGAAAGGAA